ACAAATCGTTCGCATTCCGCGAATGCACGTGCTATAGGGGGTGCACGACAATGTCCGTGAGTGTCGAGACGACTGGACCCCTCCTCTCTCCCAGTCCCACCCTTTTCACTGTTACGGTAAAACATAGTAACCTACCACGTCGGAAAACTTTCACCATAACCATTGCTCATACGTCTGACGCGTACTGAAAGAGGCCTTTGTTTATATTTCCCCGGGCAATCCACTTTTCTCTCTTTTTCTCTCTTTCCCTCTTTCTCTTTCTCTCTACGTATATGTATATATATACGTATATGTATATATATATATATATATATATATATCTATGTCTATATATTTAAGTACATATCTGTTCAGCTATCTTTTGAATCTTTGTTCTTTTTTCTTTTTTTCTCTCTCCCCCTCCCTATCCCTTTATAAGCGATAAAATCCCACTAAAAGGGATAGAAAGAACGAAATAGATTTGGTTCACAAGCTTACGATCCCTTCGAAGAATTTGAAACTTTCAATCTCTGGATAAGTTGAACGAGCAAACTGTCCTTAACCCTTTTCATTATTCGATTCGGATTCGATGGATAGATCATCTAGGTTAGGGAAGCTCGTAATGCACGCCTTAATGAACTCTAATGGAATTCAATCGGTGGACTTGAAGCGAAGGCAGAAAGAGAAAGATAGAGAGAGAGAGAGAGAAGGAAAGAGAGAGAGAGAGAGAGGGAGAAGTTCAAACTATGCGACACGTTCATGTTGTTAATATCCTTTGCCATAGTAGATACCTGACTATGCAACCTATATATATATAGATTATATATATCTATGTATATATATATATATATATATATATATATATATATAGGTTATATATATATATATATATGTATCTATGTATGTATGTATGTAGATAGATAGGGTTGCACATAAAGTACAAGGCTTATGATAGATCGTCTCGACAATGGAGTCAGTCTCGAGGTAGCTACGACCGACTCCCATAAATACTCTTGCGTGAGTACACCCAGAGATATATCCGAGTAATCGTGCCAGCCTTTCTAGAGTTGTATGTTTACGCGATTTCGTTATAAGGTATATATTTACCAACACGTATAGGGAGTATACCCATAACCATCTATATACGTACTATAATTATCTATAGATTTTCCTTTCCTAACATTCTTTCTCACGTTGGTTATATTTTTCGGACGTTAAAATGTCTCATGAAAACGTAGTCATAAATGTAACCGAATGTTACTATACTTTATCCATTATTCTCGTATACGTTTTTAATAAACCTCGGTACAAAATATTCGTATTTTCTATTTTCAACGTTTCAAAGATATTTCTTTTATTATTATTAATATAAACGTACCGGTCGTCGTTCATAATCGATAAAGAGGGAGAGAAAATTTTCCACTCTTTTTGTTGTTGCTTTTCTTTTTTTTTTTTTGTTTCCCTTAAATACTTATTTCATAAAGTCTATCGTTAGTTCGTACTTCTTGATTGTTGTTATGAAGATTGTTTAAAAAGCACTTATACACTTTGAGAAAAACTTTGACGAAAGTCGAAAATGAAAAGGAAAGGAGATAGTCATTTAATCGTCCCCCTCCATTATTTTCTATCGTTTTGTTCGACGTCTATGATTATGTTTGTTGTAGTACGTGAGAGTTACACAAACCACGTTATCTGGGGTGTAAAAGGGCCTCAAGGAGATCAAACGATCGTTTCTTCTCTCCTCTTTTTGGCTTTCACGAGCGCACGTTTTAGGAGGGTTTGATACACGTTCATATTGCTTTCATTTAGATTCGCAAAGGAAGGAAGGAAGGAAGGAAGAAAGAGAAAATCCTATAGTCTATTATATATTAGCTAAGCTATTAATAGTGAATTTATCTTTATTCCTTTGTTTTTTTTTCTTTTTTCTTTTTTCTCTTCCTTCTACTTTTACTGAAACTTTTTCTTCTTGAAACTATCGTCCCCGACATTTCTTTACGTACGTATAAGAAGGAAGATGCCACAAAGAAAATTGGCTCGACGATAAAGCTCTCGTAAAGCATCCATCCAGTGGCTGTCACGTGAAAAAAAGAGAGAAAAAGGAAGAACGTGAGATAGAGAGATAGAGAAAGACCAAGGAGAGATAGTCTAAGAAACGTGGAAACTAAACTCTAGAGCAACGAAACTCGAGCATCGTTTTGAATTTGTCCGGTAAGACGATCCGAATAAAGAAATTTCAAGATCGTCTTTTCTCTGGACGTGAATTCCTGGTGAAATCCTTGACGATAAATCGTCTTGGAAATCAATTGAAAATGAAAGGTGAAAAGATCAAAGGGTAAAAATGTCATGGGGGGGTTGGAGAGGAAATTTGTCGGTACATAGGAAAAATTTAATCCGAGAGACAGAGAGAGAGAGAGAGAGAGAGAGAGAGAGAGAGAGAGAGAGAGAGAGAAAGAGAGAGAGAGAAGAGAGATGGTAGTATATATATATATATATATATATATATATATATATATATATGTAC